TATTGGATTCACCTTACATAGAAATGGTGACTAAATGGAGTCAATTTTTATCACTGACCATCTTACAGTACAAATCAGTTGTTATTGCCTTTCAACTAGCAAAATCCATGGTTACTTTCGGTCGTGCAATCGCCATTCTACCATTGATATTTTTTGAAATAGCTATATATTCTAAGATAGAAATGTGATATTCAGTGAATTTCGGGATTATGTAGCGATGCGGTTATTCCTTACCGTTTAGTCAGTGTCTGAGCGACTAGTAGAGTAGAATTGATTGCAGACAGATTACTAAATGATTGATGCCCTTGATGTCCTCAAGTAAAGATTTGTTTGTTGTGCTGAAATTAGAAGAGCGGCTAACTTTGAAACATCAAAACTCAATAACAACATTGCCTGATTCAATAAATAACTGTTCTAAATAACTGTTCTTGTACGAGTCTTTTTCCTTGAACTACATTGTTAACAATCTCACAAATAAATGTGGCGCCCTTCAATCTTTAAAATAATTTTGTTCCTGGCAAACGTTTTTAAGGTCAAAAAAGGCTTATATAACGTTTGAATGGTAAMAAACGGCTTCTAGTTGTTTTAGTTAGGAATTTTTTATTTTCATGGCAAAAATTCTTAGAAAGTATTCCTTGACTGGAGAGTTCTTTTTCCATGAATTTCTCGCTGGCAACCCAGTTGTGACATACAACTAGCTGGGACATAAGAACATATATATTTCTCCCAGGAACCCGTCGTGATTGCAAATGACGATGAATCGATGTTATTTCTCACCTGATCGTTTAGTTAAGCAGCGTCGCGGTCCAATTACATTAAATGATTGAATAAAAATAAGGATTTCTTAATTGAGCAAATTTGAAAAATGGCTTAGTTTGAAATCTCAAACTCAATAACAACAGATTGTGTGTCGTATCAGCTTAAAGTGTCTAAATACTGATTTCTCATTGGCTGATTCATCTCATGACGTCAACATAGTGCTTTATCTAAACAAGAATGAAAACGTTTGTGTTTCGTAAGTTCTTTAAAAACTGAAAATCGAAAATCGAAATAGTCGAGTTTCGCGATCTCTTTTACTCTGTGTTAGCCTCAATTGTGTGCTAAAATATTCAGAAATTTAGATAAAACTCGTGAGATTTCAARCTATTTCCATTGTCTTCTATACTCACAGATCTCTTGCTTTTGCACGGGCTGTTGCGAATAAAAGAATTTATTACATGGTTTTGAGGCTAACACAGCGTAAAAGAGATCGCTAAAAGGGTTTATTCAATTTCAATTTCTTTCATAAGACTATGCTTGTTCGTAACTTGAATTCAGACGGGGCCTGGGTCCTACGCTTGACTCCACTAAAAGTAGCCTTGTTTAGTGAACTTCATTTTTTAGTTTGTATTGATTTTAAGATTGAATGTAGTCAAGCATGTACGTTCTTGCCTCAGCCTGTGTTACGACAATGTATACTCCAGGGGAGTGGGGCTGGGACTCTTTTATTATGCAGATAGAACACTGGATTCGGTTTGAAATATGTTTTTATCCTCAAGCAATGCGCCAATAAATGAAAAATTATATTTCTACATCATCGAATATCATCCAGAAAAAAAAATCAACAACCAGTTGATCACGAATTCCACTCTCTTGTACTTCTTTCATGGTAAAGATGCAGTCCTTTTCCTCTGCTGGACTCGAGTACGTCGTAGGTTTAGAAGGAGCGAGAGCAATCTGTCCATTTTCCTTACTACCATGTACAGCAAAATGGATAATCGACACAGCTTGTTGAAGTCTTCTTAGGACTGTTTCTTTTGTTGCTTGAGTACCTATCAATGRCTGTACACCAAGAAGATTACTAATCTGTATGGCTTCATCCTCGGCACCGGGTAATGGGGAGAACATCACTGTACGACCATTACGACTGACATGTCCAGCTGTGGGGTTTCCAAATAATTGCGATGATTATGGTAAGTAAAAAAAGTTATATCTTTTTTTTTATTAATCGTCCCCCTTCTCCTTCCCTTCGCACTTACTCCCTCCCCTCCCTCTCCCCTCCCCCGCAAACTCCCCCTCCCGGTTCCCGTTCCCACTTCCTCTCTCAATCTTCCCCTCCCCCTATCTCTCTCCCTTCACCTTCACCTTCCCCATCCCACTCCCCGTTCCCCTTCCCACTCTCTCTCTCAACCTTCCCCTCCCCCTATCTCTCCCCTCCACCTCCACCTCCAACTCCCCCTTCCCGTTCCCCGTTCTCACTTCCTCTCTAAACCTTCCCCTCCCCCTATCTCTCTCCCTTCACCTTCACCTTCCCCATCACACTCCMCTTTCCCTTTCCACTTCCTCCCAAATTTGTCTCCCTTCTTACATCATTGCTCMCTCGATTATTCAATTTCAATCCAATCCAATTTCTCGTCAAAAACCCTTCCGACAATATTGTCGTTATAGCCGCTTTAATTAATTCTTCATCAGTGACACCGAATCAAGATTTCATAATTTCGTAAGTCGACATTTTAATATCCGGATTCCTGTCACAAGTCATAGCAACACATTTTTCTCGATAGCCAATCACGTGCGGTGGTTTCATTGAGCMAACATGATCTCAGTCAGCTTCAATTAGACATTAATCTGCTTGAAAATTGCAGTGATTTGATTCTCTGATTCAACTGTTTTAAGGTAAGTTTAGTTTGTTTTTATTTTTAGAAAATTTTCTCATTTTTCAGTGGAAAGTGACGCGCGCGGATTTCTTGTCTTTTGAAGTGCAGTAAAAAAACTACTGTTAAAACATAATTTTTCAGGCGACGTTAATTTAAGGTTTAAAAAGATAARGAAGTCTTGAAATTTTGTCCGAATTTCATTGAAACAACAACGAGAGAGTTGTTACGTTTGTGAATCCCGGACGAGCGGCGTCGTCCWCTTTGAAGATAACTAGAATGACTTTTTGTAGAAGCATAACCTTAAAAAATTACTTTTTTATGCCAAAGAAGTTCAATTGATAAACAGTGTAAAAATCACAAAATATTTTGAGTTTAATCATGCTATATCATCAATAATATCTAGAATTATAATTAAAAATATATAAATACATCGGTGCTTTCTGCTCGATTTTTGACAGCCTTCCAAGTTGACACAATTTTATAGTGCAACCGGCCGTAGTCAAACTTCAATTTGTATGCATTGTTCTCCTTCGAATAATGCTTATTTTCAACTTTATGTTTGCTTAAGAAGTAAGATGGTAAAATGATGTTTGAGAAGAACAGGAAAACGGGTGACGTTTGCGTTAAGATTTGTTCCTGTGAGYTGGACTATACCTCGCATCTCGCGAGAAAAGTTTAAATTTAACGACTTTTTCTGCACAAATTTGTTTCTTATTTGAACTTGAATGACTTTTAAATAATTATCAATTTTTTCTTCATTTTCTTTTGAATCAACAGCTCCCCGATATCCCGACCCTCCGGGATGCCCAGGACATTTTTACATGATATATACTATGGGATTWACGCTCATTCAGTTTACAGTATATTATGATTAACAAAGAAAAAGCTAGAGATGTGCTTTGTAACAATAATTTTATATTGCAATGAACTTTT